CACCCCATCTCATTTTGTGAACTGTAATTATCACTTCCAAAGGGAGACAGGTTGAGTGAGGCCTCAGGGTGAACAGAAACCAAGCTTCCTAAATGGGATCAAATTTTGATTTTTGTCTAGTTCTAAAGATTTACCAACTGGTCTCACTATGAAGTGTGGGAATCACACACACACACACACACACACACACACACACACACACACACACAGACAATACCCCTCGCCTTGAACTTGGGGCAGATGGAAGCGGGGAAAACCACACAACTTTGGTGAACCCAAACCTTCCATCCCATCATTAGTGCTATTTTTAACTGAACTCTGAACTGCAAGGGACAGTGCTTAAATTGAGATGGAACTTGTATATTTTTCCAAGCTGTTAAAATTGAATGCTCAAGTAGTTTTTGAGACAGAATCCACCACACAACAAATTCCACCATAATCTCCTCCTTCAGTGTATTTTGATTTGTCTAAGGTCGCCTGAGTGGCCTGAGTCTAGAGACACTTAATCACTCTGAGGGAGACACACAGGAGGTTTTGTTTTTTTTTTGTTTTTTTTCCTACATCTCTCTTTCCTTTCCCCTCCCGAGCCAGGCACTTGCACTTTTCCATGTTTGCCAGCGATGCCCTCTGTGCCCCTGGCCTTCCTGCACAGCACAGATGAAGGGAGGAGCAAGCGGGGTCCTGTGAGACCCGTATTTCCCACCACCCAAGGCCAGGAAGTCATGGCTGGAACTTGATCCCTTTGGGGGCTCCAGGCAGAAGCCTCATGATCTGAGCTGAGAAACCCAAGCGTTCTACCAACAGGGAGCCTCTGTCCTCTGAAGCACAGCTGGGTTGTCTCAGGAGCCAGGTGGCCTTCATCTCTTCAGGACGAGGCCAGCACAGAGCATGACCTTCCTCCACAGCAAGAGGGGGACTCCGAGGAGCCTCGGGGCCCCTGGGGAGACATTCATCTTCCCAGCCTTTATCACTTTTTTCCATAACAGTACTCTCCCTTTGAGGATCAGTGGGCCAGCTGGAGGCGGAGGGCTTTCAGTGTGCTTTTGTTCCGAGCCCTATTCCCATTACAGGCAATTAGGTGCAGGGCAATAGACTTCTCTCTCTCCATGACGGTCTTTTCTTGGCTTGCAGTGCCAGTCAAAGGTGGGATGTAGGTGAGCCCCAGCCACTCCGGAACGAGACTGCGCTAGTTTGGATTTTGGTGCTGTTTGCTAACTGCACAACCTTGGCTGGGTCCCGAACTTCCCTGTGTTACGATTTCTCCACCTTAAAGCTGGCATGGTGACCACACCACCAGTCTCGAGGACTTAGTAAGGCTCCTATGGAAAGCACCTGGAGCAGTCGTACCTTGCTCACAGCAAAATGATGCTTGCTGTTATTATATTACACTGCCTTGAACTTGGACCCTGTCCTCTCGCTGTCTTTAGTTTCTCCAGCCATATAACTAAGAGGATTACTGTATGTACACCGCATGCATGCCCGGAAGAGGACATTGGATCCCCTGGGACTGGAATTACTGATGGCTGTGAGTCACCTCGTGGGTGTGAGGAACGGATCTTGGGTCTTCTGCAAGAGCAACAAACACTCTTAACCACTGAGCCATCTCTCCAGCTCCCCCACCCCCTTTCTTCAAGAGAGAGAAAGAGCATGAAGTTGGGCGATGGGGAGAGGGGATACCTCTTGACAGTGGCTGAGGTGACCTGGACTTGTTCCCATTTCTTACATTCTTTTAGCTTCATCGTGTTCATCTGTGAATGCAGCTCCTGAGAAGGGGGTGGGGACAGTGGTGACATGAGGAAACAGGTACCAAGGCACAGGGCTTGACCCTTTCACTCGGAAAGGCTTGACAGTTAGCCACCTTGTTTGTTTTGGTGGGGGAGGCCTTCCTAAGAGGGCTGGCTGTGCTTTTCTCACGTGCTGTCCCAACCTACCGTCTGGACTGGAAGGGTACTTTACAGGTGGTCGGTGAAGTGATACTGTCCACAGTCACTGAGCCTCTGTAGAAGCCAGCCACTGTTACAGCCACTGGTGCTGGAGCCAGAACGGCGTGTCCCCTCACCCTTGTGAGCCTCCACGTCTCGGGCTGGGGACGACAGACAAGCAAACATGGGAGCACAGAAACACAACAGGCTCAGACTCAACCCTTTCCTTTTGCAGACGGGGAATCAGAGGCCTAAGGGAAACTTCCTAAAGTCCTCTGTGGCATATCCAAAACCGCCTCACTGTTTAGGCCTGCTTACCCTCAACACTGGACCGAGCCAAGGTCTTAGTACACATGTGAGGAGGCTACAGGTCCGCCTCAGGTATTGTGTCTCAGCAGACATCCATTCCACCTTTTATCGGCATGTGCCACCTCACCTGGCTTTTTGTTTTTGTTTTGTTTTTCAAGACAGGGTTTCTCTGTGTAGTCCTGGCTGTCCCGTAACCACGCTGGCCTCAAACCGAGATCCACCTGCTTCTGCCTCCCTAAGTGCTGGGCCTAAAGTGTGCGCCACCTCCACTTACCTTGTAGTTTTGAGACAGGGTCTCTCAGTGCGACCGACAGCTCACAAAGTGAGCTAGGACGATGATCCAGCGAGGGCCAGGGGCCTGCTCATCTCTGTCTCCTCAGTGTCGAGGTCACAAGCCTGTGCCATGGTGCCTGGCTTTTTGCATGGGTTCTGTTGAAACTTGGGTCTTTGAGCCTGTGCAGCGCTGGGCCACCTCCCATCCCCATTTTATACATCTCAAAATGTTTAATTCTTGCATCAAGTCTGGGGCGGGAATTGTCATGCGTCTTATTTGATAGTTGGGGGGGCGATGAGGCACACAGAGGGGGACGGAGGGAGGCTCGCAGCCGTCCACATACCCTTTCCCCACCCTGGCTTCCTTTCTTTTCTGAGCGGTCTGGGGGAAGGCCTCTCCTCTTTCTGGCTTCCCTTTCCTCATGGGTGAACTGAGGAGCCCTCCTGATAGCCTCTTCTCCCTGTGACTCCTTTATTCACTTGGTTCTCTAGTACCTTCCCACCATCCGGGGTGAGCTCCAGGCAGCCAGCAGTTTCTCTCCAGGGCCAGCTAGCTCCCTGCCTTGGCACATAGTAGACCCTCAAAAAAAGCATGGTGCAAGAATGGAGAGACAGGACAGCACTTGTCCATGGTTCTCAACGCCTGCTGGGGAACGCTGGCCGGCTTTCTCTCTCCCTTCTCAGTCCAGCAGCTGTCTTCCCCTCCTCCCGCCCTCGCACCCAGCCCTCCATCCGGCCTGCATTTTTCCGGGTTTGATATCATTTTTTCCACTCTCCCGGCTGCTGCCGGTGGCCTCTGCCAACTTTCCACAGTTACAGCCTCCCACCCCCGTTCTCCACCACAGGCCGGAGACAACTTTGGGCGGGTAGACCCTCCTCCACTTCCTGGGCATGGCTGGTGACCAGTGAGATGGTGAGCAGAGGGGAACCGGGTACACCAGGGCATGGTTTTGGGCACTTCATCCTCTGGACTGGGTCACGGGTGATTTCCGTGTGGGGTCCAGGAGTCTTGGTGGTGGGGGGGGGCAGTTGGTTGGAGGCAGGGATGTCAGGCTTCTGAGACAGGATGGTCCAAACAGTTTGCATCTTGTTCTCTTCTCAAAGTGGTGACATGACAGTCCTTCCTCCCCCATCCTCCCCAGTGGAAACTCCTGACCTGACCCTACACCCAGCTGGGTCCCCAGCCAGGCGGGAAGCCTCACAACGTCCTCCATCCCTCACAACCAAGGGAGGTTGGAGGAGGGGGCTGGGGCCTGGGGGCCCTGGAGCTCACTGCTTGGTGACCCTGGCATGCTCTCTGTTCCTCTCAGGGCTTTACTTTCCACATTTGGAAAATGAATGCACTGGACTAAATTAGTGTCTATCCTGGGATTAATGGACTGAGTTCCATGGAATTCATTCCCGCCCTTAAATTATATGAAAAATTGTGTTAGAAAATTTGTGTCCTCCCATTGTTTTGGGAGCATCTGGCTACTCAGACCTCGCTGGCCTGGACCTTGCTATGTAGATCAGGCTGGCTTTGAAGTTTCAGTGGCTCCTCCTGCCTCTGCCTTCCCCGAACGTTAGAATGTTAGGATTATGGCTATGTACCTAACTTCCACCTCCCTTTCCTGATAGGCTAGATTGGCCTTGAATGCTAGATTCTTCTGCCTCAACCTCCTGAGGTCTAGGGTCATGGGCATGTGCCACTATTCCCACCTCCCCCATAGAATTTTAACCCTCTGCACCCTTTTCTGTGCAGTGACAGAATCAAACCTATGACCTCACACATGTTAGGAAGCCCGACCCCTCAGTCACACCTCTACCTCCTATAACTCTATGTGGATAGGCTGGAAGTCATCTGCCCACTTTTTTTTTTTTTTTTTTTTCCAGAGACCAAACCCCTGACTGGCCTGGAGCTCAGCAATAAAGCAGGCTGGCCGGCCTGTGAGTTCCAGGGATCCATTGGTCCCTGTCTCCTAGGTGCTGGACTTACAGGAATGTCGCACCAGGCTGGCTCTTTGCCCAGTTCTAGGGATGGAACTGGGGACCTCTCCTTAGCTCTTCATCACTGGACTATTAGCCTGCCCCCCTCCTAAAGAGGACTGTGGCAAGGGTCTCGCAGGACTTGGGATCACAGCGGCCTCTCTTAGCATCTGTGTGATTATGGGCTCCTGCCTTCACTCTCCAAACCTCCTTTCTTAAGTGGCCACACGCACACACATGCACACACACACACACACATGCATGCACACACACACACACACACACACACACACACACGCACACCGGGGTGGGTGTGCACTTCCTAGCATGTGTGACAGGCTGACAGCTTGGCACAGTCAGTGCCAGGATGAGTCCATACAGACAACACTTTGTGGGTCTAGAATCTAGGAAATGAACTAAGGCGGAGACAGCAGGTCACTCGGAATCGCGCTATGCACGTGGCCCACAGTGTATCTGTCTCAAAGGCCTGGGGTGGAAACTGAACCCAGCCGTTGGGAGGAGAGCCTGAGCGGATAATTAATTCACCGACTTTATTGATTGTCCAAGGCATCTGGGCCAGCAGGTCAAACCAGTCTACAGTCACGTTAGATGTTTGGGGAGGAGGTGGAGATGCCTGGAGGAGTCCAGGGAAGGAGGTCCCACGCGTCAGACAGGACATCCTGGACTGGTTGAGAGTGGAGCATTCTGAGAACTGGACACAGCCCAGGGACAAAAACTTTTTTTTTTTTTAAACAAAAAGACACCCACCCTGTAAAAACAGAAAACCCCCGAATCAAAAGACCCCGCTTGTGCCCAGCTTAGGTTTACAGCGTTATAGCCTAGTCATCACTTCCTCAGGCAGGAAGGGTCCTCACAGCCCTGGCTCCTGGCGATGCTCTGACTCCCGATAATGCTCTGGCCATCTTGGCAACCGGTAAGGTCCACCATGGGGACTCCAGGAGATGCACCGTTGGCCCTCGGTGGTACCTCTGCGTCCCATCACCCCAGAGAGGCGCTGGTCTTAGAGCACAGCCAGGTTGTGGCAGGACTTGGAGCGGGCCTTGAGTGCCCGGCGTCCTGCACTGCGTGCCGTAAGGCGTGACAGGAAGCGGCGGGCACGCTGGCCCAAGCTGGCCCGTCGTCGCGGGGAAGGTGGCTCCGGGGCCACGCTGTCGTGGCGGCGCAGGCGCAGTTGGCGCACCACGCCCTCGAAGAGCTCTGTCACGTTGTGCTGCAGCGCGGCTGAAGTCTCGATGAACTTGCAGTCGAACACCACTGCGCAGGCGCGGCCCTCTGCGGGGTGGGGTGGGGCGGAGACAGCCAGACGGCAGAGGTAAGGGTTGAAAGGGGTCTGTTCAGACCCTCAGGGAGAAATTTCCCAGGGGCCTGCTTAATGCAGGTGTCAGGGGACCCAGGGGCAAGTCACACCAAGCTTTGCGACAGCAGCTCAGTCTAGGGGTTGATACCCAGCAAGAACAAGGCTGGGAAGATTCCACCTCGTGAGTAAGGCCATTTTAAAGATCTTTATAGACCCCACTAGATATATGAGCCTTATTAAAATATTCCTATGCCACTGTAAATATAATTTACACCTAACTTTAAAAGTTTTGGTTTGTAGTTCCTGGCCAACACACTAAGTGTTTCATACAGAGCTTGAATTTATAATCTCCCTTATTTATAACTGGAGCCATCAATGGCCATTTTTAGCCTTTGAGAGAAGCTGGTAGAAATTAGGTGTGGGTAGAGTGAGGAGTTACGAGGAGGGGGGCGTATTTAAAGCGAAGGTCACAAGGTAAGACGCGGTTCTGGAAATCTCTGTCAGCGGTTGGGGAATGATTGAATAGAGTCAGAGAAACATAGGGACTGGTCCGGACAAAGCAGGGATGCCAGGACAGGGCAGAGGCTTGGGGTGTGGGCGAAGAGGAGGGTGCCTGTAGGACGTGGGTACCGACTGGGGAGGTGAGAGAGGCCAGTCGGGTGGGTAGTTGCAGGAGTGGGCGAGGCTGCAGGGAACAGACCTTTTCTGAGGCGAGCACCGGAGGAGGGGCCGGCGGGCGGAAGGAGGGGGGTGGGGCGGGGTAAAGGGCTCACCTTCCACCGAGACTTCCCGGCAGCGGGCCAGGTCTGCCTTGTTGCCCACCAGGATGATGGGCACGTGGTCGGCCTGGTGCGCGCGCCTCAGCTGGATGCGGAGCTCCGAGGCGCTCTCGAAGCTGCTGCGGTCGGCGATGGAGTACACGATGACGTAGGCGCCGCCCGCCCGCAGGCTCTCCTGGCTCCGGCTTTCACCCTGCGGGGGAGGGACCCCAGGCTCATCCTCAGAGGGTGCCTAGCCCTGGCTGAGAAAGAGGCTTTGTTGGTCTAAAGGGTGGAGCAGGTAGAGATTCTACTCTCGGTAGTTTTGGAGGGGACAAATTCTATCATAACGCCCCGTGTCACCTGGGGAAAAACCACTGATTCTCTGAGCCTCGGTTTCTTTTCTCGAAAAACTGATGTTTCCTTCCCTCTCCCACTGACTGCTTCATGCTGGGGATTTCGGACGGAAATGGAATGGGGTCTTTTTCCTGCAAAAGAAGGGTCTAGCTTTGCTTGTTCCGTCTTCTCTCCTTTTTTTCCCCCTCCCTTCCTCTTCCTCCTTTTCCTCTTTTGACAAGGTCGAACACTGAAGCCCAGAGTGGTTCTGGTCTTGAAGCGATTCTCCCGCTCAGCTCCTGGAGTGCAGGGACTGTATTAAGGGTGCCCGGTTCATTTAGCTCTATCTAGTCTGTGAGGAGGGTTTGGGACACAGTTCTTGAGTGTTTCTGCAGTCCAGAATTAAGAGAAAAAAAGGAAGAGAAGGCTCAGTGAGTAAAAGTGCTGGCAGTGAAAGCCGGAGTCT